ATTTTGAAAAATTCTGTCAAAATTCGATGTTTAAATGCTTATAAAAAAAACTGTGCCTATGTATTTTTAATATTTTTCAACTGATATTGTAACAATATATCAGGAGCTAAAATATCAGGAGATTTTCGTGATTTTTCCATATTTTGTCAATTTTTGAACTTTAAATGCTTATAAAAAAAAACTGTGACTAACGATTTTTAATATTTTTCATCTTCCTTTGAAACAATATACTAGGAGCTTTCTATTAAATATTCAAGCTTTCGCAACCAACAAATAAAATTTTATTGATATTTCTAGAAAAAAAACTAAAAAAAAATGAAAAATGAAAATGTCTCTAAACAGTTCAAAATAAATCAAAATATTTTGAAAATGTTATCGTGTATAGAAAATGCAAATATAAACAACCGGTGAAAATTTCATGTATTTACGGTCATTTGTTTTAAAGTTACACCAAAAACCAAATTCAATTTTCTGAAAAATCGATTGTGCTTAAAAATTCCCGTTTTTCCTCAATTTTTCTTTTGTTTTTCTTGGCGCTTTTGAAAAGTACTGGGAATTTTAAATTTTGACCTCCCCAATGCACCAACGATATTCACTTTCCAATCGAACAAGATACTGAAGTCGAAAATCGAAGCATTATTTCGACTACTTATCGTGTACACAGACACAAAAAAAAAAAAATAAATAAAAACACACATCATTGTAAAATCAATACATTCATCCTTTCACTCAGAATCTAAAATACAATTAGAGTAAGTAAATACATTTTATAAATTTTAATTTTTTTGGATTCTGAACGAAGTGATGAATGTATTGATTTTACAATGATGTGTTTTTATGTTTTTTTTTGGGGGGGGGGGTCTGAGGACAACATTTTTACCAGTAATAAATGATAAATGATAGGAAAGTCGTTGGTGCACTATAGAGGTTATAAATTAAATTCCCAGTAGTTTTCAATAGCGCCAGGAAAAACCTAAAAAATTGACGGAAAAACGGGAATTCTTATGTAAAACCAGTTTTTGACAAAATCGATAATTTTATTTTGCTGTAACTCGAAAAATTGTTTCTACCTTTTATTTTTTTTCCCAAGGTACAATTGCCAAGGTCGACGACTTGTGGACATTAAACACTTATTTAATTCAATAAAGAATATCAAACACAGTCCTTTCGGTTGTACATTCCAAAATTTAAACCTCATAAATGAAAGGAAAAATGGTTTTTTTTCGGAATTTATTTTCAAGTGTGATTTATGCAATAAAATCGACATTATAACTAATGAGCCTAAATCTACCGACAATTCATTATCTGTTAACACTGCTATTGTAATGGCAACTATAAACACAGGGCAAGGATTTACCCAATTAGATACCATGGCCGCTTTTTTAAATATGCCAAGTATGTCAAACATGACATACCAAAAAATTCACTTAGATATATCAAATCATACTGAAGTCACGGCTATAGAAGCAATGACACTAGCAGGTATTGAGGAAACTGAAATAGCTAAGAAAGAAGGTAATGTAAATGAAAGCGGAGTACCACTTATAACTGTGATAGCTGACGGTGCATGGTCGAAAAGATCATACAAAAGTGGTTATAATGCACTGTCCGGCGTGGTAAGTTTTTATTTTATATATTTATGTATAGATTATAAGTTTTTTATTTTTATTTATTTTTATAATCTAAACAGGCATCAATTATAGGTTATAAAACAAAAAAAGTTCTGTATATGGGGGTGCGTAATAAATATTGTTCGATCTGTGATAAGGCCAAATTAAACGGAAGTACTGCTTCAGCTCACACATGCTTCAAAAATTGGGATGGGACTTCTACGGCCATGGAAGCTGATATTATTGTGGAGGGATTTCGTCAAAGCATTTCAATGCATAATATAATATATGATAAGCTTATAGGAGATGGTGATTCGAGTGTAACCAAGAAATTATTTCTGGCAAAACCGTATGGACGTGATGTTTTTATAAAAAAAATTGAATGTATGAATCACATTCTCAGAAACTATTTAAATCGAATCGTTGATATTGCCAGTCGTCGAAAAAGTTCTTCGGGAACTGTTGTACCTGGATTTCTTCGGAAAGTATTAAAGGATAAACGACTAAAATTGCGGTACGTTTATACATTATATAATATTAATGCTCGCATGTAATTTAGATTGGTGTGATTAAAAATTATTAGCAAAAATCATAAACGCATACATTTTCAAATAGGTGTGCAATTACCAAGGCAATAGATTTTAGGAAAAATATGACGTTGCATCATAATGAAAAAGTTGAACTTTTGAAAGAAGATATATTAAACAGCCCATACCACGTATTTGGAGATCATTCTAATTGTGCCAAGTATGATGATTTATAATAAATTAAATGATATTGTTGTTTATCTGAAATTATTTAAAATTATGTATATATAGTTACTTTTGTACCGGTCTTAAAGAAGGCGAGGTAAATTTAGTTCCTCAAATGGACAATTGTGGTTTATTTAAGGATATTTTAGGAGCAAGAAATATCGTTGCTCATCATGCTCAAAGCCTCATATACAACGTAAATAATAATGCAGTAGAAGGCTTTAATAGTGTAGTTGCCAAGTATGTAGGTGGAAAGCGAGTCAATTTTTCTTCTAGAGGTACATAATTATTACGTATACTTGGAAATCAAAAAATTTTATTTTCGTTTATGTTTAATTGAAACCAACCTATACAATTTTTAGGATCATACGGTGCAAGGTGTTATTCAGCAGTAACATCATATAATTTTGGACCAAAATATATTAGTAATTTACATAAAAAAATAACGAATACAAGCCCTGGATTATTCACAAAACAATATATAAATAAAGTACAGAAATCGAAAGAAAAATTAAAAGGCCGGCGTTTAATTTTCGAAAGGTATTATTTAATAGTTAAAAATTAAAATTTTATTATAATAAAATGTTTACTTTCTATGAATAAAAATAGAGGGGGAGGTTAAACCTATAATGTAGGTACCTACTATGTATAATATAAAAATAATAATATTTTATTTTTTTAACTATGCAGTGAATGAATAATAAATTAGTAATATCAAAATGCATTTTAACCTTTTTACTGTCTAGGAAAAAATAATATAATATATATAACTGATTTTTTTTTTATTATAAGAACCTTCCCAAAGAGGTCAAAAACTGTTGACGGACCTGATGAGCATTATGGGGCTGTAGAGGAATTAGGATGTGCAATAATTGATATGTCAAAAGATGAATATTTAAGAGAGGAAAACAAATTCTTAAATAATTTAAAACTATCTATTCACGAAATAGAAGAAGTGGAGAGAAAAACTGTAGGCCAACAAAATAATACATTATGGCAAAAATATAGAAAGTCACGCCTCACAGCTTCCAATTTTGGAAAAGTGTGTAAGCTTAGAGCAAGCACTTCTCGAGCAAACACTGTCAAGAGCATTCTGTATGATATTTTCCAAGGAAACTCTGCTACTCGGTTTGTTTAATAGTAATCTAGCATACTCCATAAGTACTCTGATAGTTTCATTAGGTAAATTTAATTTTATTTACACTATATAGGTATGGCATTGAAAACGAACCTATGGCTAAAAGAGATTTTGAAAAACAATATAGTAAAAAGATTGAACCAGCAGGGTTATTTATACATAGGACACTTTATTATCTAGCGGCGAGTCCCGATGGATTGATTGGCAAAGACTCAATTATAGAAATTAAGTGTCCTCAAAGTATAAAGGAGTATACGCCAGAAGAGGCTGTACATAATAAAAAACTAAAATATTTGATTTTCAATAATGGGAAATTAATATTAAAAAAAAATAATTGTTATTATTATCAAGTTCAAGGACAGTTAAATATTACACAACGAACCTTGTGTTATTTTGTAGTTTGGACGCCCAAAGGTAAATAATGTTTTAACATTAATTTTTATTTAAAATCAACATATAAAAAAGATATTTTTTAATAGGTTTTGTTGTTGATAAAATATATCGGGATGAGGAGTTTTGGAAGAATAATATTGAACCTCAAACTACAAAATTTTTTATGGAATCTTTGGTGCCAGAAATCATTGACTCGAGGTTTGACAGAGGATTGCCTATAAGATCTGGTTTACCGGAACCATAATATAATATACTTATAAAAGTTTGTATTTTAATATACACGGCAAATTAATACCTAAAGCGTGTGTTTTTTTAATACCTAATCCTTAGTACCTTATAGTAAACTCTTATTTTTATAATAAATACATTTTCCAAATTATTACAATTGAAACTATGGTGGTTTTTTAAGTAAATAATAAAATGTTGATGTGTAAAGAAATGTGTTATATACTAATATCATGGGACACGGACGTTGAATAATCAAAATATATAATTTAGAAGACAGCGAATGCGGGAATTGTTATTATATACGTTATTATTATTATTGCGTATAACTATATAGTGTTGTTTACAGTTATTGTGAATTAGCAGATAAGCAGTGGAGTAGGTAAACATGGTACGGTGCGGGGACACGTACACACACTAATAATCATTTACTACACACACAGTCTCAAGTCACACACGCACGCACTATAAATATTGCCTATACTGAACTCCTTAAATATACGCCGCCACCGATCCCCTTAAGAGACATAGGCACGATTATTTTTTATATGCACCCATTTGAAGTTCAAATGTTGACAAAATTCATCAAAATCCCGAAAATTCGTAGATTATTTTTCAGTCAAAAATTCAAAAAAAGTTTTTCTTTTCATAGCTAGCATTAAATTTTTCATGCAAGATTCCACTTAAATTTTTCTACCTTTAACAAAAAAAGTTTAATGAAATTAAAATTATTATAATTATTCATTTTTTTATGAACGTTTGAACTTATAATTTTTAATTACTAATAGGTACTACAAATTTGAATATCCACGTAATTTTTTAGCATCTGATGTCAGATGTTTTATCATAGCATAAACACTGATAATTGTAATAAAACAAAATTCATAAAATATCTAATTGATATTGTTCTAACCCAGGGTTCAACAATCCTATTCTATTTAGATAGAGTTCCGGATGCTGTCCATATCGTAAGTAAACTTGAGTTTCCTGTTCAGCTCTTGAATCGAAACTGTAATAAGTTTGATCTGTAAAGTTATTTGTCTGAAAAATAACTCGAACTGAACTCGTTTCTGACAAGAATGTTTGAGGTTGTTCAATTTCGCCATAATACGATCCTGGTGCTTCTCTTTTAGAAGTAATTGTTGCGGCGTTAAATTTGCCCGCATGATCAAGTATCATAAATTAAAAATAAAATATAAATGTCATTAATATTCTACAAAACATAGTAAAAAAATATTTTACAGAGTGATTCACCAATTATTATAAATTTACGATAATCTATTACGACGTGTTATACCTATGTATTGTACATTATTGTTTTACTTTCTTTTTTATTCTTATTGTATTATATTTATTCCATTATTAAGACATGATTTTAATTTGATAATTTTTAAGATATCTTCATCTTTGTATATTATTTTTTTTTTTATGGTTACAATCACGTTAAATTACGTAGGTACAAATAAAAATCAGCAAATCGTTTTGAAATGTATGAAAATACTTCCAACTTCCGAGTCTCAATTAGTTTGGGTAATCGACGCTCAACAATACATGGGTATGAGTGTTATACGTACATCGACTACACACAAAGTAGTATCCTAATTAATAATTATTTAAAGTTTTTTTATAAAATATATTTGATATGGAGGTTGGAATCAAGAATAAGAAAATATACATCAATTGAGTAGATTACGTCTACATTATTCATTTTGGAGTGTAAGAATTCTTTCGAGGTTCTGATTTACGCCACGTGTTAACACTTCGCCACTTCGGCAACTCAGCGAAATAAAATACCATTTGAGTGAATTATTGTAACCCTCGAGGGAGCCATAAAGTTCACAACTGTTGAAACTTGAAAGAAACTATCTCTGAGAAAACCTTGGTTCAAATAGGGATCAGCGAAACAAAAAATAATGGGAACCCCTGGATTAGACCATTGATCCAGTGATAGACTATAATATATTATTATTTATTTCTGATTTATGTATTTTGTATGAAAGTACCTAGTTCACCATTGATCCAAATAATATATTGCAATATAGACAATCCCAAATGTTTGTTATTTTCCTTAAGTTTTTATATATTCTGGGAAAATATGTTTTACATTTTATTACTAGAAAAAGTTGAAGTTCAGAAATTTCATATTATAATAAGTAATATTACTTTAGTTGTTTGTTTAGATTTTTAACGGAAGTGAGAAAGTTTAGTAATTTAGATATACCGTATTTTTTTTTTAAAGAATACTCGTGTACAATAAGCAGTTTTATATAGCATGGTTATTCAGTGAAAATTATTTATTAATTATTTTTTACGATTACGGACTATGTTGGCACCAGTTAGATATAATACATTAATACCAATATAATTGATGATGAAAAATCATTATAACATAAAAACTAAAAAAAATATCACAATATTGATTGATGTTATTACAATTTTCAATTTAAAAGTATATACATGTTTATTTATCACAATAATCACAATTCTAAAACAAAGAATATTATATACCCAATGATAATATATCTACAATAGTTTTAATCCATATTTTTATTAAGGGGATCGGTGGCGGCGTATATTTAAGGAGTTCAGTATAGGCAATATTTATAGTGCGTGCGTGTGTGACTTGAGACTGTGTGTGTAGTAAATGATTATTAGTGTGTGTACGTGTCCCCGCACCGTACCATGTTTACCTACTCCACTGCTTATCTGCTAATTCACAATAACTGTAAACAACACTATATAGTTATACGCAATAATAATAATAACGTATATAATAACAATTCCCGCATTCGCTGTCTTCTAAATTATATATTTTGATTATTCAACGTCCGTGTCCCATGATATTAGTATATAACACATTTCTTTACACATCAACATTTTATTATTTACTTAAAAAACCACCATAGTTTCAATTGTAATAATTTGGAAAATGTATTTATTATAAAAATAAGAGTTTACTATAAGGTACTAAGGATTAGGTATTAAAAAAACACACGCTTTAGGTATTAATTTGCCGTGTATATTAAAATACAAACTTTTATAAGTATATTATATTATGGTTCCGGTAAACCAGATCTTATAGGCAATCCTCTGTCAAACCTCGAGTCAATGATTTCTGGCACCAAAGATTCCATAAAAAATTTTGTAGTTTGAGGTTCAATATTATTCTTCCAAAACTCCTCATCCCGATATATTTTATCAACAACAAAACCTATTAAAAAATATCTTTTTTATATGTTGATTTTAAATAAAAATTAATGTTAAAACATTATTTACCTTTGGGCGTCCAAACTACAAAATAACACAAGGTTCGTTGTGTAATATTTAACTGTCCTTGAACTTGATAATAATAACAATTATTTTTTTTTAATATTAATTTCCCATTATTGAAAATCAAATATTTTAGTTTTTTATTATGTACAGCCTCTTCTGGCGTATACTCCTTTATACTTTGAGGACACTTAATTTCTATAATTGAGTCTTTGCCAATCAATCCATCGGGACTCGCCGCTAGATAATAAAGTGTCCTATGTATAAATAACCCTGCTGGTTCAATCTTTTTACTATATTGTTTTTCAAAATCTCTTTTAGCCATAGGTTCGTTTTCAATGCCATACCTATATAGTGTAAATAAAATTAAATTTACCTAATGAAACTATCAGAGTACTTATGGAGTATGCTAGATTACTATTAAACAAACCGAGTAGCAGAGTTTCCTTGGAAAATATCATACAGAATGCTCTTGACAGTGTTTGCTCGAGAAGTGCTTGCTCTAAGCTTACACACTTTTCCAAAATTGGAAGCTGTGAGGCGTGACTTTCTATATTTTTGCCATAATGTATTATTTTGTTGGCCTACAGTTTTTCTCTCCACTTCTTCTATTTCGTGAATAGATAGTTTTAAATTATTTAAGAATTTGTTTTCCTCTCTTAAATATTCATCTTTTGACATATCAATTATTGCACATCCTAATTCCTCTACAGCCCCATAATGCTCATCAGGTCCGTCAACAGTTTTTGACCTCTTTGGGAAGGTTCTTATAATAAAAAAAAAATCAGTTATATATATTATATTATTTTTTCCTAGACAGTAAAAAGGTTAAAATGCATTTTGATATTACTAATTTATTATTCATTCACTGCATAGTTAAAAAAATAAAATATTATTATTTTTATATTATACATAGTAGGTACCTACATTATAGGTTTAACCTCCCCCTCTATTTTTATTCATAGAAAGTAAACATTTTATTATAATAAAATTTTAATTTTTAACTATTAAATAATACCTTTCGAAAATTAAACGCCGGCCTTTTAATTTTTCTTTCGATTTCTGTACTTTATTTATATATTGTTTTGTGAATAATCCAGGGCTTGTATTCGTTATTTTTTTATGTAAATTACTAATATATTTTGGTCCAAAATTATATGATGTTACTGCTGAATAACACCTTGCACCGTATGATCCTAAAAATTGTATAGGTTGGTTTCAATTAAACATAAACGAAAATAAAATTTTTTGATTTCCAAGTATACGTAATAATTATGTACCTCTAGAAGAAAAATTGACTCGCTTTCCACCTACATACTTGGCAACTACACTATTAAAGCCTTCTACTGCATTATTATTTACGTTGTATATGAGGCTTTGAGCATGATGAGCAACGATATTTCTTGCTCCTAAAATATCCTTAAATAAACCACAATTGTCCATTTGAGGAACTAAATTTACCTCGCCTTCTTTAAGACCGGTACAAAAGTAACTATATATACATAATTTTAAATAATTTCAGATAAACAACAATATCATTTAATTTATTATAAATCATCATACTTGGCACAATTAGAATGATCTCCAAATACGTGGTATGGGCTGTTTAATATATCTTCTTTCAAAAGTTCAACTTTTTCATTATGATGCAACGTCATATTTTTCCTAAAATCTATTGCCTTGGTAATTGCACACCTATTTGAAAATGTATGCGTTTATGATTTTTGCTAATAATTTTTAATCACACCAATCTAAATTACATGCGAGCATTAATATTATATAATGTATAAACGTACCGCAATTTTAGTCGTTTATCCTTTAATACTTTCCGAAGAAATCCAGGTACAACAGTTCCCGAAGAACTTTTTCGACGACTGGCAATATCAACGATTCGATTTAAATAGTTTCTGAGAATGTGATTCATACATTCAATTTTTTTTATAAAAACATCACGTCCATACGGTTTTGCCAGAAATAATTTCTTGGTTACACTCGAATCACCATCTCCTATAAGCTTATCATATATTATATTATGCATTGAAATGCTTTGACGAAATCCCTCCACAATAATATCAGCTTCCATGGCCGTAGAAGTCCCATCCCAATTTTTGAAGCATGTGTGAGCTGAAGCAGTACTTCCGTTTAATTTGGCCTTATCACAGATCGAACAATATTTATTACGCACCCCCATATACAGAACTTTTTTTGTTTTATAACCTATAATTGATGCCTGTTTAGATTATAAAAATAAATAAAAATAAAAAACTTATAATCTATACATAAATATATAAAATAAAAACTTACCACGCCGGACAGTGCATTATAACCACTTTTGTATGATCTTTTCGACCATGCACCGTCAGCTATCACAGTTATAAGTGGTACTCCGCTTTCATTTACATTACCTTCTTTCTTAGCTATTTCAGTTTCCTCAATACCTGCTAGTGTCATTGCTTCTATAGCCGTGACTTCAGTATGATTTGATATATCTAAGTGAATTTTTTGGTATGTCATGTTTGACATACTTGGCATATTTAAAAAAGCGGCCATGGTATCTAATTGGGTAAATCCTTGCCCTGTGTTTATAGTTGCCATTACAATAGCAGTGTTAACAGATAATGAATTGTCGGTAGATTTAGGCTCATTAGTTATAATGTCGATTTTATTGCATAAATCACACTTGAAAATAAATTCCGAAAAAAAACCATTTTTCCTTTCATTTATGAGGTTTAAATTTTGGAATGTACAACCGAAAGGACTGTGTTTGATATTCTTTATTGAATTAAATAAGTGTTTAATGTCCACAAGTCGTCGACCTTGGCAATTGTACCTTGGGAAAAAAAATAAAAGGTAGAAACAATTTTTCGAGTTACAGCAAAATAAAATTATCGATTTTGTCAAAAACTGGT